TGTTGCACACCATAGAGAATTCAATACGATGATGCTTTGGAAGCAACAATCTGTCAGGAGAACACGGGATAGATGAGAAATATTTTGTGAAGTAACAAAGACACGGACACCCAACAGACCTGTGTGCGCTTAGTGCGGGGGTCGGCAACCTGCGGCTCCAGAGCCGCATGCGGCTCTTTAAAGCCTTTGCTGCGGCTCCGGGGCGGTGGCGAGGGAGGAGGCGAGGGGCGGAGGCGAGGGGCGGAGGTGACCAGCCTGCCGCCCGGCGGGCGGGGCGCCGTAAAGCAGAGCGCCCCCCTCGCCAGGCAGACATCCGCAGCGTGGGGAGCCTTGCCGGAGGTCCCGGCAAGGCTCCCCATGCTGCGGATAGCAGCCTGCCGCCCGGCGGGCGGGGCGCCGTAAAGAAGAGCGCCCCCCTCGCCAGGCAGACATCCGCAGCGTGGGGAGCCTTGCCGGAGGTCCCGGCAAGGCTCCCCACGCTGCGGATAGCAGCCTGCCGCCCGGCGGGCGGGGCGCCGTAAAGAAGAGCGCCCCCCTCGCCAGGCAGACATCCGCAGCGTGGGGAGCCTTGCCGGAGGTCCCGGCAAGGCTTCCCACGCTGCGGAATAGCAGCCTGCTGCCCGGCGGGCGGGGCGCCCTAAAGCAGAGCGCCCCCCTCGCCAGGCAGACATCCGCAGCGTGGGGAGCCTTGCCGGAGGTCCCGGCAAGGCTTCCCCACCCTGCGGATAGCAGCCTGCTGCCCGGCGGGCGGGGCGCCCTAAAGCAGAGCGCCCCCCTTGCCAGGCAGACATCCGCAGCGTGGGGAGCCTTGCCGGACTTCCCGGCAAGGCTCCCCACGCTGCGGATAGCAGCCTGCCGCCCCGCAGGCATCAGGCCAGCCCCACAAGCTCGGGGGACAGCAGGGAGGCGAAGCGCCGCCATCCCGCTGTTCCTCGACCTGGTTCAGTTTCCCCAAACCTGCTTTTGGGGGGAAATAAAGGGAAATTTTTTCCCCTTTATTTCCCCCCCAAAAAACTAGGTGCGTCCTATGGGACGGAGCGTCCTATGGGGCGAAAAATACGGTATTTTTATAATGACGAATGCCTCATTATTAATTATTATTTACATCAGGCACTGATTATGATTTATGGTACACTGGGGCCCTGATTAATTTTCTATGGCATTTTGGGGCATTGATTATTGGGCATAGCAAGTCGCGGTCGCGTGGAATTTGTGCTTTGTGACCGTTTGAAGTGGGGTTTTTTTTCTTGGGAGGCTGGGCGGCACGAAGAGAGGGATTATTTTTATAATGATGAGGATGACATTGGGCCCTCATTATTAATTATTATTTACATCAGGCACTGATTATGATTTATGGTTCACTGGGGCCCTGGTTAATTTTCTTTGGCATTTTGTGGCATTGATTATGCAGTCGCGGTCGCGTGGAATTCCACGTGGAGTTAGTTGCCTGAAGCCCCTTTTTAGTTGCTTGAAGCCCCTTTTTAAACTTAAGCAGGTGAAAGTTTGGTGAATTGCTGCCAAGGAGTGTGGTGGAGTCTCCTTATTTGGAGGTCTTTAAGCAGAGGCTTGACAACCATATGTCAGGAGTGCTCTGATGGTGTTTCCTGCTTGGCAGGGGTTGGACTCGATGGCCCTTGTGGTCTCTTTCCACATATGTATGTGAGCAGGTCTTCTCCAACATGAACTATATTAAAAACAAGGCACCGATCACGCCTCACAGATGACAGCTTGCAAGCCTGTGTGAAAATGAAGGTGACGTCTTACAGCCCTGATGTGCAGACACTGAGCACTGAGGTTCAGGAGCAAAAGTCCATTAACCTGGTTACCTGGTTGTAAATTAAATATTTTAATTAGCTATTAATTTGTCCTTTTTCTTGAGATTGACAGCTGACTGCACGATCCTGTATATATAGCATTAAGGCCAGAAACAATATATGTAGTGTTATATTTGTTTTAAATGTTGCAATGTTTTTGCGGCTCCCAGTTGTTGTTGTTTTTTCGGAAACGGGTCCAAGTGGCTCTTTTTGTCTTAAAGGTTGCAGACCCCTGGCTTAGTGCCTCCAGGAGGCCCAGAATGGACATGTGAATAATCCATGTATTTCTCCAAAACCAGCATTTATAAGCACCAGCCAAAATATCACAAACTAGTGAGCCTAAGTTTCAGTTCTAGCTCTTCATCTGGCTAGGTGGTATCCAAATGGGAGGTGGGGGCAAGGGAAACAAGATTTAAAAGTACAAAAATTAGACTGCATGTTTTAATCACGTGATCAGCATTTCATTTCTATTCCAAGATTGAAATTACAGACTGAATTAGTTTCTGCTAGGTGCTGCAGGTATCAGGTTACACCTGGGTTTTGGAATAAAGAGACAATGGCTGACCCCCCCTTTTTTTTTAAGAACATAAAACCTGTTACTGAGATCTCTGTCAATATTTTTTCTGTATACCCAAGAGCCCTACTGGTCATCAAAGCAAAACACTAACTGGCTCTATATTCAAGCAATTTTTTTTCTTAATCACAACATGTTTTATAGGTGGATTTGCAGTTCCCCAGTTTTTTAGTTTTTTTAATTGAACCACCAAGGGAATTTGCCAGGTAATAAAACATTTGGTACTTCATCAACTACAGCACAAATGCAATTAATTTTCTCTTGATACCCATAGCTGCACAGGCATTGAAACATTTGGAAATGTTACTACTTTAATTACTAATTAGCTTCAAAGCTGTTGGTCCATCTACTTTGGCCAAACTGACTTTTATGTGCTTGTTTCCAAGTCTAGAGAACAGTACGTAGATGTTTTAAAAATAAAAGAATTAGGATAATGCTATCTTTATTTTACCATTCAGAGTGGGTAATATATTAACTCCCAATGATTATTAAAAACATTTATCTACTTTCTGAGAATAGCTGTTCGCCAGAGTGTTGCCTTATTAATCTAATAAATCACTCCAGATGGCCAATCAAAATGCATCATTCTGTGCACACAGGGTGTGTGTTTTTAGTGTGAGTACTTC